TGCTGAGTCAGTTCCAGTCCAAAGATAACTGGTCACTGTGCCCTCAGTCATGCTGTCCTTGTCTTGCAGATGTCTCCCCTCCCAGGAGTCGGTTCTTCAAAACTGACTTGAGACATCTAGTCCCTTTTCTTTTATTTACAGCTGTCTTAATCATGCCATTATTGCATTATTTTTCCTATGTTCTATTTAGTATGCAAGCTCAGCAGTTTGCTAGTTCAGTGATTCTGTTATAGTCTATAGATAGTTTAAGGCCTAGCAATTATGCTTACTCAGCCACTGGGTTAGTCCATGTCTTACCACAAGTAATGTCAAATATAGTTTTGGAGAGTTTAGCAAAAATCATACCATTAAGCAGCCCCTCTCTCTGAGTTGTTAGTGACAAGCTAGGGCTTCTCTCTGCTCAGTAGTCCCTTCCCTGGCAGCAGCAAGGTGTGTTAAGGTCTATTGGCCTTTATTGTCTTAGTGACTCCAGTTCCCTTCCTCTGTCACAAAATCGAGACTCGCCCCTCCCACCCCCCTGCATTCTTTATTTCCTCTTACAACAGAGCAACACAAAACCAAGAAGTCTGACTTCCTAGCATTGGATGACACTGGCTAGCAGGTAACATTGACAACACAAATCCACTCCATCCCGGGAGCTGGTTGGCTTCCTATGTACTCTCCTTCTATTTCTAAAGGTTGGAATATGCAAATGAAGAAGAAATAGGATGCAGGGGAGGACCTGAGTCAGATATATTTTGCATATATCTGGATCATACTATCTAGAACAGGTCTTCCACCAGAAATATAGGACACTGCAATGTACCAGATTCCCCCATCATCACAAAGAGATAAGCTGCTGTGCTGACACCATACATTTCTGGACAAGTCCTTTTATAAACAGTAGATCCAGATACAAACCATGCCCTAAACAGGATAATGATTGTTCACAGGAATGAATTTCCTCCAGAGAGAGAAATGAACATCAGGCAGATAAATGAGTGGTGGTATTTTAAATAAAACAGCCATAAAAAACCCTTCACTGACAGCTCTGTCATTCCCAGACCTTCTAGTGCAACTGTCAGGGAGCAGCAAGGGCAGGCTGCTCAACAAGGGAAGGGGAACCAAGGGTGACAGCAAGGCAGGCAGAGGCAGTGGCCTTACTGAAAAGGAGTCAGGAAGTTGAGTCAGTCAGTCAGGATCAGGTCTGGAGACAGTGATCAAGGTCAGCCTCAGTCCTGTGATCACCCAGCAAGTCCATTGTGATGAAGCAGGTCCCAGGTCAAGCCAGGAAGTGGAGTCAGCAGGTCAGGATCAAGGAGGCACAAGACCGGGTGCAGACATAACTGCTACACAGCTGCAATGTAGCTCAGGTGAGGGCTGAACAGGAGAACCTCAGCTTGAAAATCAGCTCCCAAGGGAAGGAGGGGCAGCCCTCACTTCTAGCTTTCTTCACAACAGCTTTTAAACAGGGAAGGAGCTGACCTTGGACTCAGCTAACGGAAGTCCTTAACTCAGCCAACTAAACCCCTGGAATTGGGGAGGGGAGAAATTGCACTCAGGGCCCTGACAGCAGCCCCCTCTCACATCAAGGTGTGTCCCAACACCTTACAAAGGTCTGGGTTCAGATGAGTGCTTGTTATGAAATGTCCTGGTCTTAGCTGGCACGTATACATTGTTCACTGGCTCCCAGGAATGCGCCTCAGGTCTGTAGCACTGGCTATCAGTGAGATAATAAAGCTTTCCCCAAATAAGTTTAGAGTCCAAAAGCTGTTTCACACAATACTCTGACTGCCCTTGCACTGTGATGGGGAGGGGGCTGGGTAGCTGATGGTGGAAGGTGTCCTGATGAGGAGGTTTTAAGGACACATGAAAGACCAGATGGATCTTCATGGATCATGGGAGCTCCAGGAGGTAGGTAACCCAACTGACTTGATCAACAACAGTGAAAGGCCCTAAGTAACAATGGTCCAGCTTGGCAGATGGTCAGACAGTCTGGATGTACTTGCTGTAAAGCCAAACCCGGTCACCAATGGAGAAGGCTGTGGTTGAGAAACACCATCTGTCTGCTTGCCTCTTACAGGTGCTTTTGGCCTTGCCCAACTGTACCATAAAGCAGGCACGAAGCTGTTGGAGTTGTGCGAAGAGTTCATCAGCTGTGGGTACATGCGAGGCAGCCAGCATGGCTGGATGACTACAGGGGTGGTGGAAACAAAAGTGAGCAAAGAATGGGATCTGCAGTGTAGATGCATAGGTGCTAATATTGTAGGCAAATTCTACCAGTGGGAGGAGGGTGACCCAGTCGTCCTGGAGAAAGTTATTGTAACAGAGATACTGTTCCAGGATCTGATTCACTCTCTACAGCTGCCTGTTGGTCTGGGGTTGGTGGGAGGAAGAAAGTGTCAGGGAGCAGCAAGAGTGGGGCTACTCCATGAGGGGGAATAAGCCAGGAGCCAAGGATGACCCCAGCACAGGCAGTGACCTAACTGACCAGGGTATAGTCCCACATAGTGTCTCCAATGCCAAGCCCATGCCTCATCTCTTATTATCTTATGCCTGTACTCTATGCCACATCCTTTGTCTCCACTTCTCAAGGCCTCTGCTATCGCACCAGGCTTATATTTTTCTATACTATATCATTATGTTAAAGTCATAGAAATATGATGGTATCAAACAATGATAAACAAAAATTAAACAAATTAGCTACAAACACCTGGTCAATTAGAGAAATTGCTGTTACAGGTAAGCCAAGTAAAACAAAGCTGTAGGCAGGTCAATAAAGGTTCAGACAGAGCAAGTCTGACAATCCTCAGTCATGAGGCCTTGCAAACTCAGTACAAAGCCTGTGGCCTTTTACTAGCAATGGAAATACCATATTACAAGGCTACAGTAAACAGAGTAGGGTCCCAGACAAGGCAAAGTGAGCAGTCCCAGACAAGGCAAAGTGATGAATCAGATACAGGGAGTACAGTCAGGAGCAACAGGAGACAGGGCTGGAGACAAAACTTCAACATAGGCCTGAGGACCATCCAGAACACAAGACAAGAGAGCAAGCTGACAAAAGATACATCTACAACATATCTCAGGCAAGGGTTAAAGACCCAGGACCGAACTTAAATGGAACCCCTGGACAGAGGGTGCATAGGTGGAGGTCCCAGGTGAGGCTGGTCAGGGCACTTAAGACCTATTGGCACTCAAGGCCCATACAGAGAGGCAGGTTTGCACTTGGAGGAGACCCATGAGCTCCTTCCAAAACCCGTCTGTGAACTGCCACCCACCTCACTCTGGTCTGTAATGATGCTGTCAGGGAGGCCTTGGCATCAGAAAATATGGTGTGGAAAGAGTCAGGTGGTCTGTGGGGCCATGGGCAACTTCCTGAGGGGAACAAAGTGAGACATCTTGGTGAACAGATCCACAGTCACTAGGAATGCTGTGTTGCCCTGCAAGGGGGGCAGGTCTACTATGAAATCCATGGACATAAATTGCCAAGGCTGGTTGGGGGTGGAGAGGGGCTGCAAGAGAGCCTGTGGTCTTTGTAGAGGCCTTTTGGTGCAAATGCAACTGTCACAGGCCTGGACATAGTCACATCTGCCCATACCGTGGACTGCCAGTAGGCCCAGGTAATCAGGTGCTGGCATCTTTCAGCAACTCTCATGTCTGGCTACAGGTGCATCATGGCATTGGTGGAGGACCTGTGTTCACAACGGTCCCTACAGGATGTGCAGTTGCCTGCCCTGGTACAGGCAGCCATCCTGTTCTCACAGGCTGGGGGAGGCTTTGCTAGCACAATGCTGTGCCAAGAGTGGGTCATTTGCAGTGGCCTGGTGAACTTCTGCAGTGAGCTCATCCTCTCTCTAGCCCAGCTTAGCACTAGTGCCTAAAGTAGATGAAGCCTGCAGGCCGCAGGACTGAATTGTAAATGAGCTCGAGAGACATTGCTGAGGATGCGACTGCAAAACCAGCTAGAACCAGCCCTCAAGGATACAGAACACAATGAACAGAGGTCGAGGTTAACCTTCAGATGAGATACAGCACACAATGGACAGAGGTAACGGTTAACCTTCGGATAAGATAAGGCACTGTGGAGCAGGAACATAGCAACCCTCCTGGGATGTAGACGTGAATCAATCAAAAGGAAAGAGACCACCGACTCAGTAAAGAAGATTGGAAGAGACTGTCACTGGCAGGCAGGGAAATAAGACTGTAAGGAGTATAATTACCCCAGAATGTCTTTGTTCGAGGTCCCTCCCCAGAGGCACCCAGCTCGAGCTGTTACTTTGCTGTACTGTCATTTAAATAAATAATTAATTTCGCTGCTAGACTTGCATGAGACTCTGCTCCTCGGAAACCTAGGGTCGAACTGTTTCCATAACACTCCCAGACAAGGCATCCATCTTGCCATTCTGCTTCCCTGGACAATAGGTGATCATGAAAGGGAAACACAAAAAGAAGGAGGCCCAGCAGGTGAGGTGGAGAGAGAGGCACTTCATCCCTTGATAGTATTCCAGGTTGTGGTGGTCAGTCAGTACCACTGTCAGGTCTTCTGCTCCCTTAATGAGGTGTTGCCATGCCTCAAAGGCAACTTTGACTGCCAGGAGCTCCGTGTCCTAGATGTTGTAATTCCTCTCAGTGGGGGTGAGCTGCCAAGAGAAAAAGGCACAGGGTGGAGCTCCTGAGTTAGGCCCCTATGGCTCTGTCTGAGGCATCTGCTTCCACAATGAAAGGCCAGCTGGGGCTTTAATCTTGCAGGTACCATAGCAATGAGGCCAAGAGAGAGCAGGGCGAGTGATAGTGGCTCACAGAGCAGTTTAGGTAGTGTGTAGCTAGGAAGTTAGGCAGTGTGTAGCAAGGCTGTAGCACATCTACACACTACCTACTAGGAAGACTACAGAGCAAATTCAGAACCCTGGATGCCTCTATGTCCTCTTTTTTAAACTTCCCTCCACATTCCTG